GATCGGGCGAAAAAATACGCTCGTGTGCCCCCAGCTTTAGAAATGCATCGTTTTCAAAAGATTTAAGCGTATTCAGACCTTTATAAAAATGATCGTGAGCTCTGGAAGCTAGGCGTGGTGGGCGCAATGACTGCTATGGTCGGAAAGCGTTAGCAGTAGTAGTAGTATAGTAGTAGTAGTAGTAGTAGTAGTAGTAGTAGTAGTAGTAGTAGTAGTAGTAGTAGTAGTAGTAGTAGTATAGTAGTAGTAGTAGTAGTAGTAGTAGTAGTAGTAGTAGTAGTAGTAGACTCCTATATAGAAATACTACGGGAAAATACAATGGGAAAAATAGGAGAACGTAGGGCAGACGACAACCTGCGGATAGCAGCTGGCGGAACAAATTCAAAAATCGAGAAAACCGTCACCCGTAAAATCTTTTTAGGCTAATAATTATCATATATATATATATAATCGTGATATTTCGACTAGCGAGAAGGAATGCATGAGCGTGAACGACTTTGTCGCTGATGCTAATAAAACGACTCCCATGCGTGAAATATTGCAATGTTCTAGACTGTGATTAATATACCCTTGTATTGGCACTAACATCCACGACGTCAGGTGGCGACAAACAACGCGTTAAATAAATGCGACTTACACACCGTTTACAGATACACGTCAACTGAAGAGTTAGCGTTGCTCCGGAGAGAGCACGGGAAGCCATCTCCCTCCCCCCTCCACCACCCGCCGCGCGCGCCGTAATACACACCACTTTGACCCGCCGTCGAGTGTACCCACCTGCCGCGATCAGCACAATGGAAGGAGAGGTCGATTTATGGACGTGGAGTAAATAGGTGTGAAACACTGCGTTTTGCTATTAATAAGAGAACAGCTGCCGTCGAAAGGCATCGCGTTATTGCGTTTCTGCAGCAGCGGCTGTCAGCATAGTTGGTTTCGTGTCGGAGCATCAGAATGACCGCTTAGGGAGTTGTTGCTCTTACTCGTACATCTGTGCGAAACTTAGAGGCAGTCGCAGTAAGCTTTGTTGGTTTTTCTGGATTCTTTTTCAGGAAAATCGTGTTGTATTCAATGGGTATTATGGTTCTATTCTTGTTGTTTCTAATGTTTATAAGCAGCAAATATAAAGCATATATATATATATATGACGCAAACGATTCTAGGTTTTTTTGTGTTTTTTGTGATAGTGAGATTTTAGGGGTTAGCTGCAGTTTTCCCTATTCTATTGCTGGTATCGTGCAGTGTATACTATACTCGCTACTCCCAGACGCTCACGCCCACGTGCGTATAACGGCTCTCTTTTATTTCTAGAGAAATATCCACATGAATCACCGAATGACGCTGGCACCATTGCATCGACATTTGCAGGCGAATATTAAGTGCACTTCGCACGACTCGGTACGGAAAACGTCGCCTGGGGCACAAAGTATTTTTCCTGATGAAAATGGTTAAACCATGTCGGTGCACAATGCGTGAAAAACGGTAATAAGTTATATTTAGTGCTCGCCAAAGCTGCCGGGGCGACCCCCGTAGTAGTTTATTGACTTTATCGCGCAGGTCCTTCGGGTTTGTCGTAAGCAAGAATGAATTACGCCGACGACGGACCCATATTCCAACACGCTGCCCACGTGTATCAGAACAAAGACCAGTCAATTCTCGCGAAGAAAATATTTCTATGGCTCTCATTTGGTTTTGCCATGGAGATGCCGTAATGGGCTCGCGCTCTGAAATAGCATACCCGAAATGTATAGCATGTGCCACGGTTTCCTTTGTCGGAACAAGAATGTAAGTATGGAAATAGAGAGAGAGTGGGTGAGAAGGCCCGAGAAAGAAAGAGGAAAGAAAGAGAACGGAGCAGATCCGAGAAAAAGACGAGCCGGGAGAGCGCGAAAAAAAAAAAAGAGAGGGAGAGAGAGACGAAGACGAGAGCAGCTTCGAGAGGAGCGCAGGATGAGGGAGAGAGAGCGACACGACGAGGAGATTACAGAAACGAGAAAGAGGAAACGAGAGAGCAGAGAGAACGGCAAGAGAGAGAGCGAGAGAGACTGAGAGAGGCGCTCGGGTACGAAGACCACCAGAGAAAGACAGAGACGAGAGAAAGAGAGAGAGGGAGAGGCCGAAGAGCCGGAACGCGAGAGACGAGGACGATAGAAACCGAGGAGAGAGAGAGAGAGAGCAGACAAAGAACGAGAGAGAGAGAGACGTCGAGAATAGGACGGCACAGACGAGCCGAACACAGGCGACACAACGCCGGCCACGGTCAAACGAGGCGCGCACGAACTACAACGACATACGACACACACACTCACATGCGCACACACACACACGACATCACGTGTTGCGTGCAGCACCAACACGTGGAGAGATGAGTACGCACCCGCAGAAGAGAGAGACCACGGACTACTGGAACACGACCACACACACACACACACACACACTCACGCGCGTACACACACTCCACACCATACACACACACACAGCACACCACACTCACGCTGCGCGACACACACACCACACACACACATTACACACTCACACGCGTAACACACACACACACACACACACACACACAACACCACACACGCAGCACCACATTACACAACACACACACAACATACACACGCACACACGCACATACACACACACACACCCCGACCACACTGCGACACATACACACACACACACACACACACTCACGCGCGCACACACACACACAACACACACACACACACATACACACTCACACGCGTACACACCACAGCACACACACACACACACACACACACCACACACACACACACACACACACACAACATACACACGACACACACACACAAGCACACACACACATACGACCACGCACACAACACGCACATGACAATCACCACACACACACAGCACACACACGACACACACTCACCGCCGCGTACTACACGAGCTACACACCTACACACACACGACACACACACTCACGCGCGGCACACACACCACACACACACGACACACACACATACACTCACACACACACACACACACACAACGACAGCGTACCACACACCACTCACACACACCACACGACAACACCAACCACACACACACAGACGAGCAGAGAGAGAGCCCACCCCCCGCACACACACACAGAGACCCCCCCCCCCCGAGCACCACACAGCACACACCCAGACACAGTCCACACACACACCCATCACTCAAGCGTGAGAAGAACAATGATCTCGCGGAGAAAAGCAGCGAACGGCGCACACCACAGCACACTCAACACACACCACACGCACCGCACGCGCGGGAGAGAGCGCGAGAAGAGAGAGAGAGAGAGAGGGAAGGCGACAGAGTGGGCAGATAAGCTTGAGAGGAGGCAAGTATTATACGCAGGAGCGAGACTTGTGGTGTGTGCCCGACGCGGGTATGAATAAAACATGGTGATGAAGTCCATCTCAGGTCGAGCGAAAGCGACAACCTGGTGGTCGTGCTGAGGCAAGTCCTGCATATGCAGAGCGTGGGAGGGTAGAGTGTGAGGTGGGGTGAGAGGGCGACGAGGCTGTAGAAGAGACAGAGCGGAGACCGAGTAGGAGAGAGAGGCAGGAGTAGAGAGAAGGCCAGACGACGAGA